GCTGTAGAAAGAATTCTTCTAAGCAGTGAAAAATCTGAGTCTTAGTCTGCAAGAACAGTAATAAGCTCTTAAACCGCTCTTTTTTCTAAGGTTGCTTTCTGGCAGGATTTTTTTCTTGTTTATTTCACATATTTGGTTACACCGTATTACTGAGGAAGAATATGAAGTCATTCGTGCTTCAAAGCTGTTGAATTCTATATTTGTGTTTTACTACCTGCTGATGCATTTTTTTTTCATGTGTGCATGGAGACCTGTGACCCAACGGTGTATGTCTGTGAAGGGCACTGCCTTCAGGAAATTCTATTTCAGTCAAGGCAGCTCTATTTTAAATTACAAAATAAACTTACACAAATACATTGGAGTGGTATTTATATCCAGCAGCATCTTTCTGTTAGAAGATCTTTGCAGTTTTTTTACAGGTCTTAATCTCTTCCCTTTCTCCTTCTCCCCTGTCCTCTCCCCCTCTCCCTCCCTTTTTGTTTTTAAAGCAATATTTATTTCCAGAAAACTAAATAATAGCATTTGAAAAAAGCTAATCAGTCCAGTATGTGTTCTTAGTGTGTATCGTGAAGACTTTTTCCTAATCCCATTGTTACAGAAATTCTTAAATAAGCACGAGTGAATTATGTGTTTCTTCTTTCACTGGTAAAATTGGTTTGTAACTGCCTGTAACAAAATGTAAGATGTTACATGAAAACAGCATCAAATTTAAAGCTATAACAATTTCAAATCTTCCTGCTAAGAGTTCCTTATAATACTATTTCTTAATTACAGTAGTGTAGGTTAGTAAGTGTTCAGTAGCTCAAGTATCATATATATAGCCTCATATATAGTAGCTTACATCTAACAAGCTCAAAGTGAGTTACTCTGTTAACATCATGATCTGATACTGAATTTCCCTAATTCTTCTAAACTAAACTGACATGTGTGAGGCAGAGGAAAGTGATGACAGTGCCTTCTACTGAGCCATGAGCGCTGTGGACTGTTAGAAGAAGAAGAAAAAATGAGCTCAGTCCTTCCAACAACCACTGACAATTTGAGAGAAGTGCAGTTTCTGTCTACTTCTTGGAGAGAGAGCTACCCCTTAAATGAGAGTGAGGAGGGGCAGATCCAGGCTCCTTCTGGTCACTCAGGTGCCCTGCTTGGGTTCGCCCTGCCTTCTCACCTGGTGCTCAACCACTGGCTTAGGCTGTGACCTGGCAGTTCTGCTGCAATATGCTGAAGTATGCTAAAGTCACAGAGCAACAGAAAACCAGGTTCAAATTGAAATTGCCTGATTTATATCTGTTCGTAGTGTTTATAAAGAAAATTAGAAATTTGCTTTGACTGCAAGGTTGAGCTTTGAAGGATGAAGGAAGAACATGTAGTTTTATTGATGAAGGAAATAAAATGGAACACTTCTGGTTTCTGTAGAGGTATGAAGTAACTGTGAGATGATGTTGATACCATGCAAAAGAGATCCTGCTAGTGGCAAATGTTTTCCTTTGAGATGTGGATGGGCTTCAGATTAGGGAGTGCATTTAACTTCTAAATCCGATTCCAAGTCAATTCCAGAAGAACACTAACTTTTAAAAATGGCTAATGCTGTTTTGGTTACTGCCTCTGCTACAGAAATCTTCTGGTTTTCTGCTTATAACTTTGTTAGATTTGAAGAAACGAAAACCAAAAGCCTGTATTTTTTAGGTTGTGCTATATCTGCTGTCACTTTCCAACATGAGATGATGATGATGATGAACTCTTCCTGTATAGGTCTGAAATCACCAGAAGAACCGCTGGTGTGTTTACCACCAAAGGATGCCTTCCCCAGTGACCCCCGGGTAATAAATAGACAGAGAAGTTACGATTATCAGTTTCCATACTCTCCATTTTCAGACACACAAAAGGGGACAGCAGAAGATGGACTTTATACAAGACAAGTGGAGAAACTTGAAGATGAATGTGAGCTAGCAGATCACCCTTTTACAACACAGCATTCCATAAGTGCAATAGTAGAGACTGTAATATTAGAAGAATACAGTCTCTTTGTAAAAAAGATTCAGGAAATTTTGCAGGAAAAAAATATTTCTTATGTGAGTGGTATGTTCACACCAGTCATCTTGGGCCAAGAGAGGATAATGAGATTTTCTGAATATGTATGTTTACAGACATCAGAGGTTTCTGTGCAAGAATATGTAGAGACACTGAGTGAGAAAATGAAGAGTGTTGTTTTGTCCTCTTCGTGCACCAGACGTACTCCATCAATTTACTGTAGTTCTGCATCAGCAGAAGTAGTTCAGGGTGCTGCAGCGAAGCCTCCACCCAAGGTGTTACCTGTCTGCAGGGACTCTGACACGGCGCTGTTAACAGAGCCGTCGTGTAACAGTGTGGTGGAAGATGTTGATTCTGTTGAGCAGCAGTCAGCGAGCTTGTCCATAGTGAAGGAAGAAGTAGAACACGTGAATGCTAAAGCAGAAGCTGTGCTGACGTCTGATCAGACACCTTCCAGTGGTAATTGGATGGAGTCACCAGAAAAGACTCAGAAATCCCCGGAGAACTTAAACATTTCAAACCAACCAGCTCTTTCTGATTTTATCAGCCAGTTAAAACCTGAAGTTTTTAACAGTTTGGTTGAAATTATTAAAGATGTACAGAAAAACACTGTGAAATTTTATATTCACGAAGAGGAGGAAAGCATTCTCTGCAAAGAAATCAAGGTAAATGTGTTCCATTTCAGCCTCTCTGTAGTGTTTAAATAGAGTGGTGTGGCTTTCAAACCAGAATTTATAAAACTGGACTTGAAACAAAAGGGAGTCTAAAATTTGTTTCACAAAGGTTTGAATTGTTACAGTGAATGGCGAAAACAGGCTGCCCTGCCACAGTTCTGGTTTGAGGCTGTCAGACAGTCTGTCTTGATTTGGCATTTACCTAATTCTTATTGTTCGAAAAGCAGAACTGGTTGGAGTTTGGGTCTTTGTGCAGGTGCAGCCAGAAGGGTTAGGCTTGTGGGAGGACGTTTTTGGAAAGAGTATGATGATATTTTCACATATCCTTGCTAAGATGTTATGTGTGGTGGTGTGGGTTTGTTTTTTTTTTCCTTCTTTCTTTTCCCCCTTTGGTTAATTGTCCGGGTAGCTCTAGAGATTGCTGTTATTCTGCATTTAAATGTGCAAGATGGAAGTTATAAAAATTCATGTTTTCTTGAAACTTCATGCAGTCTTAAAAGACTGTCAGCTTGTCAGCTGGCCACATCCGTGCTACTCTGTAAGACTGACCGACCTGCTGAAGTAGCCCGTTTCTTCTGCTTAATGCATCAGAAAGACAAAAATAGTTGTCTCTCTGGAATTCATTTGAATGGGAAACTTATTAATGTTGTCATCTTCTGGAGAATGCTTTGGCTTAATGAGCTTTTCCCTTTCTTTTTTTCCCCCCCTATCTCCTTCTGTGGTGTCAGGAGTATCTTACTAAGTTAGGTAATACAGAGTGCCATCCAGAACAGTTCCTAAAAAGAAGAGCTGCTTTAGATAAACTGTTGATAATTATTCAAAATGAAGACATCGACAACCTCATCCATAAGGTATTTCACATAAGTAAATGTGTACCACAGAAAACAACTGTCAAAGCATAGCCAGAAGAACTCACTGTGAGCAAGGCTACTCTCTTAATATTTAAACAACAGTCTGATTAGCTGCCTTTTCAAAGAAACAAAATTGTGGTCGTGTCCAGTCCTATTAGATCACATACCCATAACTACTTGTACCTGCACATTGTTGGTGATGAATACTTCTGGTGCATTTTAGCAATTAGTACTTTTTCCTAGTCCTTGTTAAGTTCTGTTGAGGCTCCAGTAGTTCTGTTTCTAGTTCTCTACTGCTGTGACAGCAAGCGAAGGCAGCTGTTAAAGTGACATTAGGTATCCCTGAACCAACACCTGTAATGTTTTTGGGAGCACCCCCTAAAGCAAGAGATTAAAAATAATTTTTAGATATGTTTTAAAGTTTGACAAGAAGATTCTTCATCTATTTTTTAGCTACAATCTTTGTTTTCTTTTCCCTTGTGTACCCCTTTGGATTTTTAAACAGGTACCAGGCTTAGTAACTTTGAAGAAGCTTTCTTGTGTCAGCTTTGCGGGTGTCGATAGTTTGGACGATGTGAAAAATCACACTTACAATGAACTCTTCATGTCGGGTGGCTTTGTTGTGTCAGATGAATCTGTCCTTAATCCAGAGAGCATCACAACAGGTAAGTGTGATGCTTTCTGGAGCTATAAAAACACAGACAAGAAAAGGCAGAACTCTAAAGATATGAGAAAACTGTCTTACTCAGAGCTGATGTGAATTTTTTGGAGAACCTGAATCTTTTACTCACTGGCCTGTCTGGAGAATGTGTGAACATGGAGATCTTGGCTTTTGAAGTTTGTCTACTATGTATACAAGGCCTTTTATTCCTTACTCAGAACCATGAATAATGTGGTAAAAAAGCTACTGGAAATCTGTGTTCTTTCGAATTTTCTATATCTGAAATTGAATATTTATCTTTAGTTACCAGATCTCATAGATATTTTAAGAAGGCAGATCATGCTGACTAAATCAGCTGTTTTGAAAGCAGATACCACTGCTAGGCTTCAAAGCAAAACCTCTCTGCTTTGGAATATTTTTGTTGGCTAATCATCTAGGAATAAAACCTAAAGTATTGGGGCAGTGCTCATAGTTGTGTAACTGCTTTGGTGAAAACTCAAAAAACCAAAATATCTCTCCTCTTTTATGTATATGTTGAAACAGTGTTTTTCAGTTTGCTGATTGTGAAATTTATCTTATCTCCTGAACAGATAAACTAAAACAGTTCTTACAGTTTCTGGAGGATCTCAATACCCCAGATGGAAAATGGCACTGGAAAGTCCACTGCAAAATGCAAAAAAAACTTAAAGAGCTGGGGAGGTAAGCAGTGGTCTTTCATACAGTTGCTAAAATCCTCAGCTTTAGTTATACTCTCAAAATCTCAGTGAAGTTGAACTTAATGTTATGTTCATCTTTTAACTGAATTTTAATGTTTAGAGTGACCTTACATCAAATGTCTGATATTTTTTTCCATCACAGACTGAATGCTAACGCCCTGAGTCTGCTGACCCTGCTGAACACCTATCAGAAGAAGCACTTGGTTGAAATTCTGTCTTACCATAACTGTGATTCACAAACTCGAAATGCACCAGAATTAGAATGTCTTATCAGGCTTCAGTCTCAAAACATACAACAGCGACACGTTGTCTTCTTAACAGGTTACAAACAAATATGACTATCTTTCTCCCTCTTACGGTAGTAGTGCTAAATCGTAATACAAAGTGTCCTTCTATGTATTTAGAAAAGAATCTCAAGCCACTTTCAAATTATGCTGATAATGGCATAGTTGTTGCTACTGTCGATGACTTCATGCAAAATTTTACAAGTCTTGTTGGGTATCACAACTCAGTTAATGAAGAAGACAGCCCATCTCCCTCTGCTCAGGAAAGACAATCAGGTAATACATTAAAAACATTCATCGTTTCTTCAGCTAATTAGAGGTGTGGGGTGGAGGTCCTTGAATTAGTGTCTTTGTGTAAATGAATGTGAGAGATTGTAAAGAAAACCCAGCCCAGCTCTTAAGCTACTGCTTTAAATTAAGGGGGAACAGCAGCAGGGATGGAGCACCAAAGGAGATCTTAAATACAGAATTACAGGCTAACAAGCTATCCTGGAAAGCAGGCATATGCCAAAAAGGTGTGGCTGTCTGTTTTCAGAAGGATAAGCTGTCATCGTTAAGGTGGCTCAGAAACTAGACAAACACCTGAGGTAGTGGGAGTTGTAGTCCTGTAATTGTCTGATCAAATACTGACCTCCTGTGTAACTTTAGATGCTGTTTTGACATAAACCCCATTGGAGTTGGGGTTTCCCAACACTAAACATGAACACAATGCTCAGAAGCTTTTAGCATCGGAATAACTGGAATCAGAGGGTTAAGTGTGTATGTTGAGTAAGTGAACAAGAGTGGCAGAAGACCAAGACTTAAGTGATACTGGACTTGCAGACCTGAAGCATAACACTCCGTGAGTAGTGTGTAAATTTTCTAACAAAAGTTTGTATTTCAATAGAATAGGAATTTCTTTTTCTTTTTTTAATGCAGTTCATGTAGAAAATGATGTAAAGGATGAGGAGGACATGTCTCTGGATTCAGGGGATGAAGCATCACAAATAGAAATCTGCAATGATGCCTCTAAATACGATACCCATTTGGAAACTTTGCAGACTGAGACCGAGAGCTCACAGGGAGTAGATGCAAAAAAGAGCTGTGTGTCAGAGTTATCTCCTGAATCACGAAAGAGTTTGATGGAAAAGTCTTCTAAAATTGACATGGAAGAGAGACAGCCAGTTACTCCGGTTTCTACAACGCGCTCTGCTGAAGGAGAAAAACACAGTTCAGTTGAACGAGCTCCTTTCAATAATTTCCAGGTTTACAGCAGACCATTAAACATGTCTCATCAGTTCAGTCACTTCAACGTGCTCACCCATCAGACTTTCCTGGGAACAACATACCCACCTTCTACAAGTCAAAACCAAGAAGGGGGCAGTTATTTTCTATCTGCTTACAGTCAGAGCAGGGATACAGAGAAATCGTCACTGCCTGGTGGTTGGGATAAAAACTGTGATTCTTCCAGGCCATATTCAAAACGGAAATAAACTTGTCTTTTTTATAAGTTGCTGTGGACTTCCTGTTTCTAAAACGTTGGATTAACAATTTCTATTTTATTCTGGAACAAAACATTTCTTGTCCTTTATCTCAAAGTTTTTTCTGATCTTATTTAAACCGTGATGGCCTGCACCTGTTGGAAGCATCTGAAAATTGAAATAAATATATATTTTTAACATTTATTGTACTTGAATTATCTTGGTTGTTGGCACTTTTAAGTTTCTACATTTGTATTTGACCTGTACATAGGTTTCAGTTTGAAGTCTGTTTTAATGTAAAATTGAATGTTTGCCTAAAATATATGAAATGGCGAGTTTTTTTAACTGTAAGTATCCAATTCACTTTTCTTTACATAAATATCAAAACGTATGTATTTATTTGACACAATTTTGTACGAATGTTTTTACATAGCTATAAGGCAGTGTAGTTATTTTATTTACTGGATTTTGGCAAAATACCTCAAGTAGATTAACAAATGGTGCAGTTCCATTACAGAAACAAAATAAACTGTTAATGCACAAGGGACTTGCTAACATGCTGCCTTGTCTGTGGTTTTTATGCTGTCTTCAAAATACAAAAGAAACGTAGCCAAACTTTACTTCATAACTAGCAGTTCACTTGGTGTAATTACTAGAGCAATATCAGAATGATCTTAAAACTTGTATCTTCCCCTTATAACTACAGCAGGGATGTTTTAGTGACCTCAGTAATTCAACCTGCCTCCTGCCCTACTTCCTCCTGCACAGTGATTCCTGGTGCTTTCCTGCTTCTTAGATTTGGTATTACTCTGCATGTAGAGTTCTATCTTTTTTTTTAGCTTGACCTTTCAAATTTCACATGTGCTGAGTTAACCTTACTTTCCTGAGGCAAGTCTTTATTTGACTCAGCTCATGCATCATCTCACTAAGGCTGCTGGGTAACAGTAACTTGAAGGTACACAGCTGGGGTTGTCTCACTGCTACCCGTGGTACAATTTGTGTTTTTACATATGCTAATGTGCTGACTTCTGTGTTTACTTGTTTTCAAATTGTCTAACGTCGTACTTCTTTGCTGTTTTGTAATTTGATCTTAGTGTTTGAATGACGGGTGGTTTAGAAATGGGTAATAGTGTTTGAAACTACATAACTGTAAACTCAAAGTTAGTTGGCCTATATAGAATTGGTTAAAAATTACAGGCTTTGTAAAAGCAGAGAAAACACCATTCAGTCTTGAATGCTTGTTTGACTCACTTCCTTAAATTAAGGACAAACCATGACAAGACTGGTATATACCTCTGCCCCTTACCACTTACATGTAAGTACTCTTGTCTCTTTATCAACAAACTTGAATGGACTTTGTGGAAAACCATTCTACCAAGTCCGTCGTCAACTGTGGGCTCACCTTGTACGAGACTTGGCATGCAAGTGGAGAGGACAGAGTCTGCTTTCATTCCCTTAGCTGCTGCTGGTAAGATACTTTCATATTCTATTTTTTAGAACAGTTGCTGCTGAAAAAACTCAGTTTGGGTGTTTTGTAGTATTTTATCATGTATCTCAACTAAAATGAATTCTGATTAGGCACCTTCTGCAGAACCTCTAGAAGAAAAATTCTTCTACCTCAAATTATCCTGTATCTTGAAGCCCAAAAGGAAATGAATCTAATGTTTAACTCCAGGAAGGAGGAAGCATTGAATGCTGAGCTGTTCAGACCTTTGTTTTTAAACTGACTTCTTTAAACTGAATTCTGCTGTCGTGGACTCAGTCCATTACCATATTAAGTGTCACTATCCTCTTTCAGTTGGGGTGGGAGACAGCATTTCTGCAGTGGTAAATATTGAATATAATGATAATATAATGGATAATAAAGTACAATCTGTTTCCTGTATTTAAAAATATCTATCCCCTCTCTTAAAGCCATTCACAATGAATTGTGAATCTTATTTATTAAAAAAAAAATGCACAGTACCACAACAATCCAGGTAGCAACTTTTCACAGTCTTTTGGTGTCTATACTAAAGGGACGTGTCTTCAGGCAGCACAAGGACCATTCTGAAAATGTAGTTAAATTTATTTTCGTGTTGAAAAGTAATAGTAAAAGTAAAGTGACCCTGTAATCCTATCAAAAATTGCATAATAATTTATTTAATAAAAATAATATAGATAGTTCACAATTACAGTAGCAAAATGCTGTGCTTCTACATTCAAATAATTCAGTACAGTCTTAAGTACCTTTCAAAATGGTGAAATAAAGTTCTCTTCTTGAGCTTTAACAGGAATTAGACCTGACTCCAACTCCTTTTGCTTCTGCAGGAGGCCCTGAAATGAACGGAATAGGAATGTGAATGCTCTGCCTCCTTCAAGCAGTCTGAACTAATAACATGCCACTGCTTTTTACTTTAAAACAATTTGTTAAGATGCATTGCTTTTTAAGTGCACAGCTTCCAGCAGGACAACACAGCACGCTCAGAAGGGAAGGAATTTGGGTTGACAGGTACTGGCTTACAGTGCTAACATTACATACGTTCTAAGGCAGCATTACTGTTTGACCTAGAACAGTGTCACAAGTATTAGGATGTGCTGCTGCATGTTTACCCACAAAAGCTAAAAGGTTCCCACTTTGTTAATGGCTTTCACAGCTACTAGAAAATGAAGAAACCCTGAAGTAAAAACAGCTGCAACTGCATGATACATGCATGTAACACATAACAGCTATGTATGAGCATGCCTCCAGGTATTCAGTTAGGCTAACAAAGCCATTCCCCTGGTTTCAAGTTTTCTAAAATTCTCCACTGTTTCATAGTTAATCTGATGACCAAAGACTCCTTGAAGAGAGACTATGGAGAGTCCAAAGGTGGAAGCAATGCATTTACTAAAGCAAAATTAATACAGAGAAATAAAGGTAGAGGTCAGGGTCCAATCATACATGATGGAAAAAAATGGCTTAAAGACTAACGTTTGTGACTGTGTACTAGTTTGCAATGTTCATTTTGACCTTAGTATGTATGCACACATGTGCTTGTGCAATGACTTCTCACTTACCTGCCGTAGTTCTGACAGTCCTTTTAGAATCGCTTGTTGTCTCTCTCTTATTTTAACTACATCAGGATTTAGAAGAGGATCTCTAGTGTGATCAGAGCTAAAAATCTGTCGTGGCACTTGGTAAGAATCTAAAAATAAATACATATATGAAATTAGTAAACAACACACTTATAAATTTGTTCAAATTCTGAAGTAGTAGACTTTCACAACTTGTAGAAATCAAGTTTGGGTTGCTATTTTATTATGATCACTAAGTCAAATACCACTTAGATTCCTGAAACCAAAAGCTGTATGTACCAGTACCAGAGAAGTGCAATTAGATTTCGCTAAACAAAAAAAGACAAAAGAATTAAAAATGTTGGTTTTTTTCTTTTATGAATTTGTGCTTTGTGTTTTGGTTGCACAGGCTTTCTGTACAGCGCTCTGACAAAAACAGGTTATGGCAAAATTCAGTAAAAGCAAATGGAACAAAGCGCAGAACTTCAAACCGAGGTGCTGCACCATCTCTTCTACACGAATCAGATCACAACACACTGCAGTACCATTACACTGTCGATACTGTGGGCCGTGTGTTGAAGGTCTGGTCACTGGTGCATCTGGATCGAGATAATACACTTCGTTTGTTCGAACGTATGGAATGAACTGTGAAGAAGGAGGTCGTCCAGCTTCTGGAAGCGCAGGAGGGAAGCTCTTCTGCTGCACATCTGCCTTGGTATTTTTCTCTCTTCTACTGTTGTTATATACTTCCAATTTCCTGGTGCATATCTGTTTTTGTTGTACTTGTAATCTATTCTTAACCGCTGGAACAGGTGGTGAGTCAGATCTGTATGAAACAATTCCAGTTAATGTAAAAGCACCCACAAAAGCTTGATAAACAGTGGAGAGAAAACATTATGCACTACAGTGGCCAACTGGATGAATCTAAGTTCATAACAAAGATTAAAAATCAGGAAAGAAAAATGTACATATTTCACTATAAATTCATTAATGCAGAATATTGACATACCTTTCTTCATTCAAATGATTCTTACGGAGTTGTTCTTCCTGGGAAAAAAAAAACAAAAGTCAAAACCATGAGTACAAAACTTGATGTTTAATATATTAAACACTCATATTACAAAAGTTTGTTCTGAAATTCTGAGAGGACTGTATGATCTGAGCTCTCACAGGAGACAGATATTATCGAAGACATGCATTAAAGAGACTTGTAGTATCTACAAACTCGGTTAAACTAGTAAGTTCTTCTATCTATTTGTTCTGTCTGCTTCTCTACGTCTATGGAGCTCAAGGCACAAGCAGAAGTTGTACACACTTCTTAATAAATCTATAATGATTATCAATAAAGCGAATATACACTTTGGAAGATTGAACTAATACTGAAAGTTAAGCCACAAAAATTTAATGTTCTTCCAACCACGCTGAACAAAACTGCTGTAATACTGGTCTTCACACAAAGGAGAGGTGGTAGGAAAACTCTCAGAGATTGAATTATATCCAACCAGAGCTGAGTGAAGTAAGTCTTAAAAAAAAGTATTAATCACTGTTCTTAGAGAAAAAATAGTTACCTTTCTGATTCTATGTCCCTTATTCTTCAGTTCTTCATGAGGTGAAGGAGACCCATCTGAGCAACAACCCCTTTTTTGGTAGAGATTCCCAGGCGTATTTCTTTCTACCAACTGAAGCAGCTCCATTTGTCGTCTTACTTTATTTTCTTCCCTCTGTTTCTGCAGTGGTTTGGGGTATCTTTCTGATGCTGGAATGTATCTTTTCTCAGGCTTGTTTATGTTCCAGTCAGGTCTTTTGCCAGGTTTTTCTGAAGGTTTAACTTGTCTTTCTTTTCTTGCATATTGTTCATACAGCTCACTGTGGATGTCACCATTCTCTTGTCCTGAAATTCTGTTTTTATCTGTATACTGCATTTCTTTCTGATATTTTTTGCTATTAGAGGTTTCTTTATATTCTATGGAAATATCCGGTGACCCACAACATGAAGTTCTTTCCTCAGCTGCATCAATGTATGCTGAAGTAGTACAGTCATCTAAAAAAAGTATATTAGATCTAAGAGTAAACTATTCAAACATTTGGCCTAAACAAATAGAAAGAAAAAAGCTTTCACTTTTCAAGTGGGAAGAAGATTCTGTTTGGGTAAGTAGCAACAACTGTAAAAAGCTTTTCTAAATATCTGAATATAAGCTTTAATTTTCTAATGGGTCTAGTATTCCTACTCCAGGATTACTGACAATGTTTCTTGTCCTTAATAAAGGATTCATTAAGAACACATTCCAGCTCAATACCAGTGCACGTGATACAAGCCTGAAGACTACAACTATACATGCTGCAATTCCTTAATAAATTTAGTCCTGCATGGCTTATGGCCATGACTGTAAGCCAACACTACTTCAGAGTGGCTGATATGAATTTGTAATGGGCAGGTACCAATAAAGACATACAATTGATTTAGAAGAACACAGTGATATATTATTATATTTCCAGGAGCGTGAGTCTGTCCAAGCATGTATTTTCAATTTTATTCCATTTTGAATGACAACGATTTGGCCCCGTTGCAGTTACACAAATTAGCTGTCCTGCTGCCTGTCTGTAAGGTACATCAGGTGACCAAACTGAAGGACTTCTTACCTGTCTGTACAGCAGTGTCTTTCCGAGATGTCTGCTGATCAGTGTTAATGGCAGCAGAGAAATTAGGACTTTGATGTGAAGCATCAGTATTACAGTTTTCAAATTCACTGCCACCTGAAAACAATCAAATTTTTTTCATGTAGCAGCATATATTTTATTTAAGCTATGCTATCATGTTATCAGACTATTCTAGCTTAGAGCTCAAAGCAAAGATTGAGAATTGTGATTCAGATCCTAAAATACTGCCTGTTTCACTGAAAATCAAGCCAATCCTTTGTAGGTCTGAATATTCCACATGCATTCCTGATAACAGCCTTGTATTTCTTCCTTTATGTAACGTAGCATTTGAAGATTACTAAGATATGGCATTCACTGCATTAGAACATTGATATTATTGGAAAGATTCTTTAAATAAGCTAAAATTAAATTTGGTTTCTGAAGCAAAGGAGCAATTTCAGGCCTACTACAAAAATGGGAAAAAAAACCCACTCACAGTTTGCACACCCACACCAAAGGGAGAGGCAAACTGACCAGCAGAATGGCAGAACTCACCCCCACCAAGACTCTTCTGAAGTTTTGAAATGTCATGTCCCCTCTGAGCCAAATCCTGGATGCGCTGTTCCTGTTTTAATCTCTGGGCTAATTCTTGAGCTTTCTGCATTGTCTGATAGAGCTCATTTGTTTTCAGAACCACAAGTTCCTTAAAAAAAAAAAAAGTAAATGTGGGAATTTATTTTGAGAATATGATCGTGTCATCTCCGTATCATCCCAAATGTTTACATAAATAATGTCAAAATATCTTCTTGCTTTGAGTGAAGCGTCTTAAACAAACAGAAACAAACCAAAAACTAGCTGAGTTGGATGCAATACCTTACATGTAACTTTTAAATGGTAAAGTCAGAAGCTCTGCTGTACTAACGAAGCTGTTCAATCCTAGCCTGAAAGAGCTACACATGTATTTTTTGTATTTAAAATCTGCATTTAAAATGCATATTTCTGCTTTAATTGAAATTACACCTGCATTTTTTACCTCACAGGTCTTCCCACTACCTGCAATATTTAACTTCACTACATTCAGACAAGTCAGTAAAAGATTTCCATCCCTCTGCACTGAGCAAAACACAAAAGCCCACCTCCTTCTGTTTTTGTTTAAGCAGATCTTCTTCAAACTGTTTCTGCATCAGTTCTTTTTCTCGTGCTAGGCGCTGTTCTTCCTCTTGTTCCTCCAATTTTCTCTTCTCTTCTTCCAGTTGTTTCTTCTTCCGCTTTTCTTCTACCTGAGCCATTATTGCTTTCTAGTGGTATCATAAGAAAGTAGAATGAAAGTAAAGGCATTAGAAGCAGGTTACTTGTATTCTTCTGTGTACAGCCATGATACTTGAATTTGGAAAGATAAAAAAATGAAGACAATGTATTAATATATGTGACAGTAGCAGGGAAAATAGCAGTCTAACAGATCATGCTATTAACTAGAAAGTACTTCAAATGCTTTTTTTCTTACAATTTCTCAAAATATGGCTAGTTGCCTTCCCACTGTTTTTTAGAACCATCAGCCCAGCAAAGCAGTCTGAAGACAAAATACTCAGAGATAAACAAAAGTCTCTTTTTATGTTTTCATTGTAAAGTTCACAGAACAGGTGTATGCAAATATCAGTCCTCTTGATGGTAGCAGAGACTGAAAAAAAACACACAAATCTTACTGGAGTTCTAAAGGCTACACTGCATCATTCTGAGCCAAGAATTCAGTAACAGAAATACAATCAACGAATATAAATATTAAAAAAACATAGAGGCTGAGTGGAACACTACTAATCATGTGTAGACGTAATATGAAGTCTATTTCTATATCTGAAGTCTGTTATTAAATTATCATGCTTTATTCACTTTTTTTTCCATTTTCTCACTAAAATAGCTCTAGACCTTAAAACAGAAACCCACCTGATGTTCTAACTGCTTCTGCCGCCGTCTGTCTCTCTCTTCAATCTGTGCAGGATCCAGGAGAGCTGTCATTGAACGAAGGAAACTACAAAGAAAGAAACACGTATGTGGCTTTCTTATCATAAAGAATAAATCCAAATGCCTTCTTTAATTAGAATTCCTAGATTACAAGTAATTTTTTCATATTGATGAAACTGCATTGTATTAATTATTAAATTTATTAAGGGAAATAAATAAGGTTACTCGCAGTAAATTTTATTAATGAATAATGGAAGCATATGCATATTTCAAAAGTGAAACCATGTGCAATTCTGAAAAAAGCAGAAGCCAAATGAATAAGATCTAAAGATCAGATTTAAGGCATCTTATTCAAATATTTATTTAGTTTCTAAGGAGTACCAGAAGTGAACAGGATGGGAAGATGATTGTCCTTACAAAGTTCACTCACCTGGTTTTCTGACTGTGATCCAAAGCACTGTTTTTAGCACCTCTTTCTGCATTTTCCACTTTTGAGGGCATGAAGTTGCCTAAAGCTGCAGGTGAGAAAGGGTGAACAAAAGCAGTCAGCTCCTTAGGGTCAGGTGACAGGCAAAGACTTTCAGGCTGCTTTTTGTACATTCCATTTAAGGGGTGTTGTGCGTTAGTATTAAGGTGGTTCTTTAAAGAATCAAAATGCATTGCCCATCTGTCATGCTCTTCAGCCTAAATAAATATGAAGCAACAAAAAACGGAAATGTGCTCAATTACATTTTCTACAAAGCACGGTTAACAAAAGAGACAACACATTTTGTACAACACCAACAGTTGAAAATCTTTGTTACGGAGTTACAACACACAGAACAGTTCATTCCTTAGATGGAAAACCAAAGTGTTTCTGTTGCTTAAAATGCAAATCGGAGCAGAAATTATGCTGTGGATCAATACACCTGGTCAGCAGTAAAGTGCTTCTAATATATTTTCAGTAAATACAAACAAACCAGAAAGTAGAAAGTGAAGAAAAAAAAAAGTAAAAAAAAAAAAAGTCAAAGAATAAGTTGATAACATGAACGGTTTTACACTCACTCACATTTACCCACACCACTTCAAACATGGACAGCAGCAGAATTACTGTGCTTTGGGTAGAGATACTACTTTACACCTTCTTGTTTTCCTGACAGGCCTATTATAAAATAAACACTCTCCCAGAATCTCTTTCATTCTTTTAAGAATCCAATCCTAACAAAGCACCCGAGACTTCTGTAGAGGTGACTTTTTAAGACTCCCTTCCATATCACAGGGCCTTGTCTTTACAGCTCCATTTTTGCAGCTGGACGTTTTACATAAAGCACCTTTGTTTTTGCTATAGGTACTGAGAACATTTTTTCTTCTGAGCAGTATAATTGTTTGTCTGAGAAGACTGTAAGATGAATACTTCTACATTTCTTTTTGGCAGAATGCACTTAACATTCTCTATTTAAAGCTTTCCAGGACTACATTCTTTAAACCAGAAAGAATCCCTTCTTGAAGAGAAGTTTTATGCCTATTTTAAAAGAAGCAATAACATAATCTTAATAAGCATCCAAATGAATCTTTCTCCCATTCCAAAGTAAATTTTGCCTTCCCTTTAAACACGTTGATGTGCAAACGTATCAGAGAAGTTAAATATCTGTGTTATGTGAGTCTGCAGTACAGAAAGGTTCAGATTGTAACATGAGATGCAAACAGGAAGATGAAGAAAAAAAAAGATTAAATATGTGCAGTTTTCTTTCAAGAGGCTGGAAGTAGCTTACTGTCAAGTTGGTAACTGCAGCCATCTCCTTGTGCCACACCCAGCAAATTAAAAAACATGGCAGCCAAGGCAGGAATCTTTTACAGCTGCGTTATCTTCAGAGCTACAAAACGTCCCATTTGCAAAGGAAATTCAGTTCCCTCAGCGGCCCAGGAAAAGAGAAGATTTATGCTGTAAGTATGTAACTGACCTTAGCAACAAGGTGGGGTTGGTTTGTTTTGCTGGTTTGGTTTTTGGGGTTTGTGTTGTTGGTGTTTCTTTTTTTAATTATTTTTTGTTTTATTTTAGAGGATGGGTAGAAAGTTTCTATTATTGTGAGCCATAGAATTGAGATAATGCTTTTCTGTATAGGAATTGTGTGACTGCTGCAATAAATACTTCAGCTCAGAGTAAAAACTATTGCGTACTGATAAAGGCCACAGATTACAAACACTCCTATGAGGTGAGTTGTGGTAACAGAGGTTCCTGTTAGCTGCCAACACGGAGCGTGGTGAACATTTATCATACATGGTAACAGATACGACCCGGCTTAAACCTTCTTACAGTAATTTGGAAATCAGGGTTCTAACAACACTACAGTCTTGCTGTGTGTTTCTTCATTTCAAGAGATAGATGAAGAGACTTTGGAAGACTATGTTGGTCTGTATAAGAATGTAGAATACTTCACTAACCTTAAGATCAGAAATAAGGTAGAAATAGTAACAAAGGAAGTATCTCACTTTTCCATAATAAGAACCTGAAGGTGTATGAGATACATTGCCCAGATCAGCCAACAGTGACAGTATTAGAAGTCTCTTCACTTAACTGAACTTCAAACAAATCATATGGGCAAGTTTCCTTTGAGATCCAGTGTAAAAGATCTACATTCAACAGCCTGGAAAAACTGAAGGTTACAAAAGGTAGGGCTGTTTTCTTTAATCCTTCTGGGTGAACAATTGTTTAAAAAGCTTCAGAAGCATGTATCAAAATAGTATTTCCAGAAACAGGATCTGAATACCTCTGTGATGCACAGTGGGTGTCTCTTAACAATTTCTTCTCATCTCCTTCAGTAACTTACAGGAAGTTTATTTTTTACAAGGTGTCTCACTAGTGTCTCTGCAAGACCTTACATCCCCTGTTCCTTTCAAACCATGGGGGTTATAATAATACCACTATTTTCATCTCCACAGCAAGTACTTTAACACACCAAACTAGGCATGTTGTCCTCTGCCAGGCAAATGCTGCAACACCTACTGCCTGAGCGTTCAGTGACTGTCCTGTGATCTTATGATGAAAAACTGGACATAGAACATTTCATTATATCTTTGCAACTAGTTCTTAAGTCTAAGACTTCAATTTTTATTTCTTAGAAGAACAAAAATAGAAACAGCAAGTTCTTCTTATTCTAAGCCACAGTTCTAAGTCTCTCTAAGCCACTTACCTTTGATAAATTCATTTTTTCTTCTATTTTTCGTAGCTTAGCTTCTTCCTTCTGTTTGTCCAGCTCTTCAAGCCACTTCTTCTGTTGCTCATGCTTCAAAGCACTCAAAGGTCGCTCCTGTAGCACAACTTCCTGTAATAAGATATATGCTTGTCTATTACTTGTAGCCAAAATTCACTACATTGTCCAGCCACATAACAAAGACGTGTCAGGAAACTGTGCCTTCAGTTACTTCAGGCAGAATTAGGCTGTTCTCTTGCACAAGCAATGAATGTAAGCTTGTAACTTTACTAAGTGCTTGCCTGTTCCATAAAAATGCTTCAATTGTTACAAAGATGCTAAGTCATTCAACCTTATTCTAACTTGAACCATCAGCCTCTTGATCCAGACAACGTGAACAAAAATCCTTCTTCCTTATTGCTGTAGACACTTCTCAGCCTGTGTTTCAGGTAGATTCACCCCATGATCATTACATCATTAGCTGATTCAAGTAAATTCTACATAGCACCTTCTGTCTTCTCAATTATTAATGGATATCCATATAATATCAGAGACTCCAGTGACACTGAGAATTTTCAATGCTATCTGAGAAAAAACATTCTGTCACTGTCTTTTCAAACCCAATTTCTTAAGCTTTTTTGCACCAAAACTTTTTTTTTTTTTTCTTGTGGTTCTGTTTTTGATACGTTCCCACTTAATCTATTTCTTTAACATATGCCTAAAAGCTAAATAAAAATTCAGTTAACACCAAGTAGTGTTCTTCATTTCAGCCTTTAATTATACTCAAGTCTTTGAACTACCCATATTTTGATAGGCATTCAGACACAATGCTCTAGCTAGAGCACAATGATCTACTGAATTATTTTGGTCTAAAAGAACTACAGCAGTTATACATCTGTTATCAATAAATAAGGAAAAAAACAACAACCCGTAACTGCATGCAAGTTAAAATCTTACCCCTAAAACAAATGCTGCGCAACTGACAACTGGTGAGCTGAGAACAGTGTCCGCAAAGTGACCACTTATTGATTTATTTAGTTTTTTTGTTGCTTTTCTTTTTGTTTTGAATTAAATAGCCTTTAATGTATGCAAAACAAATAAACCAATTTTCTAGAAGCTGCTACCCATTAGAACCTCAGTCAACACCTGTAATTAAGCATGTCATATGCAGTAGTTTTTACTTATGTGCAAAACGAAACAAACTCTTATCGGGGAAGGGTGATAATTTTTTTTCTAGGAATACTGAATTATGCCAAAAGATGCCATTTATTTTTACAACTGACAGTGGATAAAAACCACCTGTTTGACAGCAGCCTCCTCAAAGTCATGTTTTATCTGACATGCCATTTTCACAGTTACACCTGACTACGTGAAAGGCAAGTTAAAATCAAAATGCTATGCTTAATATTATGTAAGCCATTAGGTATACTAGAGAGCTAATGAACAATGTAAATAATTATATATTTATTATTATATAACCACTTCATTATGCTTCAAATCATAATTGGAATAGATTCATACCTCATAGTAATCAACACGCAAGGAAAGGAAGAGGTTGGTAGTGATACTTCATATAACTGATAAAACTAAAATTGGAGCAAAAGCTAAGTTTGATATAGGGAGCTGCATCACATCATGCCATCAAAGAGCTTAAACTAACCACTGAAATCTGATTCTGCTTCCTGTTAACATTGGATCTGTACAGAAAAGAAAATCTTGTATGAATTAAGAGCTCAAGAGTTCTGTGACGGTGCTGTCAAAACTCTGTTTTTCAGTGTTTATAGATAGCCTTACCTTATCTGGGTCAGCTGTTTCCATTTTTTCTGTATGGTTTTTATCATTGCCAGATTTTGCCCCTAAATAAATCACATCTCCTTCCAAGGTTTCTTTCAGTTTCTTCTTCAGTGCTACCTGTTCATCTTCAGGAAAGGAAGTGTGGGAAAATGCACGAAACTTTAGTAAAAATTCCTAATACAGACATGTAGATGCATTTATTAAAATAAGATAGGCCTGTCATCCCTACAATTGTGATTGTCAAATGGACTACACGATAGTCACCACTGTGTGACCTACCAGTTCAAACGTGACTTTGCTCTTAAGATGATGGCCACTGAGCCTCTGTCCAGAGGTGTAGGGGTAACAGGGTAATCTGTCTGAGAAGACTACAAAACCCTGAAGGCTTAACAACTATCAATGAGAAACACAGCATATCAATTATCTCCACTTTGTTAAGATTAATGAGATTAGAATATGCTAATATTGCCAAACCAATGGACACTGCAAACATCAAACCCTGTAATCAGATCATCTACATACAAGTTGTAGAAACAACACTCCTGTATATCAATCATAAATAGCTTCATTTGTCATGGAGTCTTTAGCACTGTCTTAAACAGTTTTAACTTTCTACAGTGATTCCCTGTGGCTGGTGATGGGACAGGGCTGCAAACTGTTCCAAAGTCAAACTGCAATTTGTACTCAGTCATACCTGTAGACCAGGTGACACTTTTCCCTTAGAAGAAACAAAGTGATTTGTTAAGGACAATGGCCATCAAGGAGCGAAGGGGTGACCAAACCAACAGGAGCCAACAACTCCTACAGTATGAAGCATTAAAAAAAAAAAAAGCCCAAACAAAACAAAAACCCCACAGCCTTATTTGGGAAAATATTTCTTTTGTTTAGCAGTATTTTTTCAAGAAGTTATAGATTTTCTTTATATAGATTTTTTTTTTTTTTTTTTTTTTTTTTTTTTTTGAGGCTTAGGAATTGATCTGTTCTAGAGATTTACAGCAGATAACTTCCAAATCTGTAGCAATTGCACTGATATAAGTGAACTTACAGAAGCATAAGTAATGCAAAGTTTGTTGTCGTCTTTAGTGTCATAAACTCATAAAAATATAAGTGGTGTGTATGGTAAGTACCTAATTCCTTCTTCCACTGGCTCTTTCTTGATTCTAATAAGGCTTTCTCTCCTTCTCTTTCACCCAAGGTACTAAACATGTCAGCGGGTTTCCAGGACTCCTTTCTATAGGTGAGGGAGAGAAAAAAATTACTTGAAAATCTGTTGATTTTAAACATAACTTTTTGATTAGTATTTATATCAATTCTTACTGTGATTAAGAACTGCAATTCATTATTGGAGAAAATTTTCATGGACAATAACAGATTTACGTACATAACTTTCTCTCTTGGTTGTGGATATGACTCTTCTTTCCTGCTTGAATTAGAGTTAGGCTCATCTGGAACAGATGGAATTTCACAAGTGTTTTGGAGCAATGCTACAACGGTTTCCTCTGATGCCTCACTAGTGCCTGTAGTAGAATAAATGTACATGCCTAAATGTATACGTATTTGTACATTTATACATATATGCATATACACACACAAAAAGCAAACAAAACATCAGTGCCCACTAAACATTTTTCAATCCTTACTACTTAAGGAACAGAGGAGACTTGCAAACTCACAACTATTTAACAAACCTGTTTTCTGCCCTGCTTGTACAGCTGAGACATGCAAGTTACAACTTCAAAGATATTCTTAGAATGCTAGACTGACAGTAAAAACGCTTGCCAGGGAGCTCAGACATTTGTACCCTACTTACTTTCAATGTGCCATGATTGTGGTGACAGAGTCGACCTCTTCCATGGGTCCAAAAATAAGAGTAAGGATACAGGAAGATACATAATAGTTGTCATGTTTGTCAGCATAAAAACTGCAGAATGAACCCTACTCAGTAGTAGTATTACAGTTAAGCAGAAAGATGCATGAACATCTTGAGGTCAGAAGGAAATCTGAAGAGTGCTCTTGAGATACACAGCAATATCTGAACTCTTTGATCAACCAGAAAAGCCTGCATTTCTGAGGCTTTTTGAGTGTGCTGATGACAGTTATTTCCACAGAATCATGGAATCATTTGATTTGGACAGGCCTTTTAAAGGTCATCTAGTCCAACTCCCCTGCAATGCATAGGGACATCTACAGCTCAAGCAGGTTGCTCAGATTCTGGTTATGTTCTCAAAATTCTGATGTTAATGGTTCAGTGCCCTTCCACTATTTTTTTTTCCCCCAATTTTAGTATGAAACGTTGACAAGAGTTGCTTGCTTTTTTACTCTGCAAAGTACTAGAATATTATCAAACCATTTCTAGTTCTTACTGTTAAAATTAACAGCTGCTTGGTTCCTAACACAGGCAATTTCACATCTGTAATAGCAAGCAGTGGTGTTGAGACCATTAGAGAGTAGTATCTCTGTCTGCAAATAAACATAAATTATGAATTCAACTCAAAATTAAGCCTCATGTTTTGCTTTGTTTCCATGAAACTAACATCAGTTAACTGTATGAAAACTTCACTGCACTGTATCTTACCTATTTCCTCTTGCTTTTCACTGGGAGTCTCAGAGATGTGCCTAGTTTCTCCTTTTACAATCATCAAAATCTGCTGAAGCTGTTCTTGTGTTAAACACACCAAACTTCTTAGGTCTTCAGCTGATATATGTGCATTTTGAGCTTCGTGTTTACTTTCTCGAACATTAAGATTCTCAGAATCAGGTTTCCTATTTGTGGTGTCTCTTTGGAAAATCAAAGAGTGATCTTTAGTTGTAGCTTCACGTGAGGAAGGTTTAGTTACTTGCACTCTTTCACCTTTTGACACTGATAAGCTCGATCCACTCCTTGATTTTGCTAAGTTTTCCTGATTGATGCAAGCATTTCGTGTTGACCTCAGCATATGCTCAGTATGCCTTATTCTCAAAGTCTGTTTAGACCCTTTGGCTTTATTTCCCATCTGTTAAAAAAAAAAAAAAAGAAAAAGAAAAAATTCAGTATATATTACATTAAGGAGAGAAATTCTCGTAAGTAACAAACAAAAACAGGACTATGAGCAGCAGGTAACAGTGTTTCGTTTCTTCTTCCTTCCATCAATACAATCTAACTCCATAAGAAAACAGTAACGTATCTTCACCAGCACTAGACATCACAGAATGGCCCTGGTTGAATCATGAATCTCCAACCCCCCTGCCACAGGCTGGGCCACCAACCTCCACATTTACTACTAGACCAGGGTGCCCAGGGCTCCATCCAATCTGGCTTTGAACTCCTCCAGGGACAGGGCAACCACAACCTCTCTGGGCAGCCTGTTCCAGCACCTCACCACTCTCACAGTAAAGAACTTCCCCTTGACATCCAACCTAAATCTTCCCTCCTTCTTCCTTCCCTCCCTCCAACTTAAAATCATTTTCCCTTGTCCTGAAATACCTTAAGGGAAAACACAACGCCTAAATCTGAATATTTAGAAGACACAAAAATAATTTTATATAGCATAACATTTAAAAGAAGTCATAAACATTCTTATTTTCTTTGGCATTTCTGAAGTATGGCTTCAAGTGTGGTTCATCATACAGTCACTAATATTTCAGTCTTGATTTTTTCCATTCTGTAACAGTTACTCTTTCCAGGGTCTTTGTTGTACATTTGTCACTATCTCACAGATACTGAAACTTTCATCTACTTTGTCCCTCCAGCTCACTGCATTCCAGTTTACTCAGACAGGCACAGCCCATGTGATTATATGGACAGTAAAACACATTTCAGACAAATTTTACCAGCATCCCTTTAAGATCTCTGAAAGTTCCAACTGAGATGATTTCCTACACTGTTGTAACTTTCTGGGGAACTAAACAAAACCACTTTGTGATGGCAGAAGTTGTCACCGAACTTTTAATTCAAACTTGTTGAATATTTTACTGAATTTTTTGAAGTTCAGATTGGATATTAGGAGCAGGTTGTTCACCAGGGAGTGGCCAGGTACTGGAAGCTTCTCAGGGCAGTGGTCACAGCCCCAAGTCTGCAGACATCCAAGAAACATTTGGACAATGCTCTTAGATACTGACCTTGGTTTTTAGGTAGTCCTGTGTGGAGCTAGGAGTTGGACTCAATGATCCTTATGGGTCCCTATCAACAGAGGATACTCTGTGATTCTTTTTCATAGCTATAATGAACCTGAGAAATACCCCTTTTTTTTTTTTTTCATAAACATGACTGATTACAAATATTGAGACATTTCAAATGCGTTCTCAAAATTATCTGCCAACAAACTGAATGGTATAATGTGTGCTCTAAATAAAATGTAGTTCTTTTCACTTACCTTCATTGCAGGCTTTGCTTTATCTTTTGGGAAGCAAACACAAACATATGAGAACAGTATTTAATAGCAACTTCTTCCTGAAAAATAAATCTTAAGAAACTCATGAGCTATTATAGTTATCAGACATCTTGTAAGGAAGGGGGAAGTACCTTCCTGTAAATCTACCCAGTATATGTGTATGTTTTTCTTTTGGTATAAAAAATTCAAATATATGTTGGAACACAAATAAAAAGCTACCTAGCTATATTTGAGACACCTATTCCCAGTTGTACAGAAAAGTACCATGCCTTCTTTGCACTACCTATTAGACACCAGAAATGCTAACAGTTCTGACTGTCTGCAAAACACCTTATTAATAATATTTTACAATTCAGATGAAAGTATTAAAATTTGAGAGTATGCTAAGTTGTCACTCTTAAAGGCAGGCGTTAAATCCTGGCTCAGTGAGTGGCAATGATATGTGCTATGAATAGGGCCAGTGAACATTCCAACAAATGATGCCAGCTACATCTGAACTAAGTGAAAGCACTTTCAGAGCACTGCCATTCCAGAGGTGTTGTGAGGCTTTGTCTCCAGTGGTCTGCCATTTCTTCTTGACTCAAAGCATTCCGTAATATCTCACTGGTCAGCCCTCTGTTAAATGCAAAAAATTGCAGCCTCACCACGGCTGACAAAGGGGACAATGAGTTCCCTGCCCTGCTGGCTGCACCACAGCTGATGCAAGCCAGGGTGCCATAGGCCTCTGTAGAACAATTAGGGAAAGTGGTTCTGTGCTTGTACATAAACACGCCTCATAAATAAAAAACTAGAGTTCAGACAGGCTCATCATTAAGCTTTAATGAGATGGTCTTTTCTAGTGTGGCAGCACTGAGATCTGGTCTAAATAAACTGCTTAGTGAAAATGATAAACCTCAGCCACCAGCTACTGAAGTACTGTAAATATCTAAGTGTGAAATAATACAGTTCTGTGTAAATCAAGCACGGAGCTACTGGGCTTCTTTTTCCCTGGCAATAAGATGTACTAAATTGCAGAAATTCTCGCATTACATCAGTCGGAGCTTGAAAGGTTACTTCAGGTAAATAATCAAAAAATACCAGAAGCGGCTAAAATCAGCCTCGGCTTCCCGTCCAGCACTTCAGTTTCAAGCTTCAGCCCATCTCTGCAAAATGGGAGAAAGAAAGAGACTGGAACCGTGCAGAGAAGAGGCAGCGGTGCGATCCGTGCACTTCAACAACCCGCACTTCATGCTAACGCCGCACGCGCTCCCCCGACGCCGCCCGCAGCGCTGCGGTCACCTCACGCTCCTCCGGCCCTTTCCCGCCCCCACTCCAGACGGGCTCCACGCCCCCCCCGGCACCAGCGGGCCTCGAGGCGCCGAGCTAAGGCGGGGGGGGGACTGGGTCCCGCCCCGCACAGAGCGGCGCTCCCGGCCGCCGGGTCCCTCCCTCCTTACCCCAGGTTCATGGCCCGACCGAGCCGCCGACGGAGCCCGAGAGGCCGCCGGGCTCGCGCTGTGTGTACAGCGGTTGCCGGCCCCGCACAAGGAGTCGGGAGGCGATAGGCTTCCGCCGGGCCCCGCTTCGCCAACGGGCTGCCAGCACACTGCGGGGCCGGGCCGAGCGGCGCCTTGTGGGGGATGGAGTCTGCGGCGGGGAGCGGCTGGGGAGGGAGAGAGAGAGAGAGAGAGGCAGAGCTTGCTGTCTGCTTGTGTACTGCTGTAGCATAGCAATTTCTGAAGCGTTCCACATTGCAACTTACTATTTTATTTTATTACTAGCCCTCTTTTTCTTTCTTTCTTCCGGACAATAGAGTCAACATTCATGTTCCTAACCCTCCAGTGAAAATCTTTTAATCTTTTTTTTTGGGGGGGCAAAAGAATTGCCTCCTGATTTCAGCTCGAGACAGCAGGTGGCAATATAGTTTCAAACATATCTGCAGAAGTTTAACTGCCCTAAAGAAACCATCTTACCAAGGGTTCAAAACGGCTTTTATTTTTGCTCCTGAAACAATGAGTTTCGATCTGCTAAGATTTTTATCATATTTTATAAATTAAGTATTAGTGGTTTGCTAGACAAGCGTGAAAACAAATTCTTTCTAAAAGTATGCAGTTCACACCTCCGTACATAGTTATCAAATGCTGCCATTTGAAGCTGTAACTAAAACTAGTTCTTAAATGACGTAGCTACAAATCTACTCTAAACCCAGCTCTTCAGATCCCCTTAGTGGCAGTGTTATGGTGCAGGGAAATGCTTTGAAAGTAAAAAACATCTCCTCTAAGTTCTGTATTTAATGCTGACTGTGAGAGAATGTACACAAACTGCTACAAAGAATTCATACAGTACAGTAGATGAATGTAACACAGCAGTGTGAATACTGACTACTGCATAGCTGCAGTTCTGGTAGCTGCAGAAGACAGTAAATATGAGCGACTTTTGTTTAGGATATATCACTTTTACAGTAAATATACAAAGTCCAGAGTTAATAATATACTAACCTTCAGCAAAAAGCTCATTTACTTATTTTTGTTGACATTACCAAAAAGTGAAACAGAGAAACAGAAGCTGGAACAAAGTCACTTTTGAACCCTGCCTGAGTTCATCCCACTTTCCCAATTACTCTGATGGCATGCTAAAATATTCCTGGTTTTCAGAACTCTTGCCTTCATACATGGGTTCATCTGCATTACTTTTATTGATGGAGATTTTTATTTTTTCTGATACACATGGAGAAATCAAAACTCTTTGAAACCATTTTCTTGCCTGAATATATGTTTGTATGTATATTGCACAAAAAATAATAAACCTTGGTTAGTCTAAATGAAGAAACTTATCATCCATTTACTAGCTTAAAAGGAAAAATACCATGGATATGGTTGTATTTTAGGGGAAATAAATTTACCCAATGGCCTCTTGAATCACCAAAACTATATCCCTGACATCCCTTGTGTTTACATTTTGCCCTTGGATACACATTTCATTAACAAATGTGTCTATGTGCACCATGAGACAAAAACTGTGTTCTAATTTTTTTTCCTTATTTCATGGAACTTGAGCACATACACTGTTCTGTAATACTCAAATGGAAAAAAAAAAAAAAAGTAAAACAGTATGATTTACTTTTGTATTTTTTTATTGATCCTTATCTGCAAAATTGCATGACTATTAGAATCAATCATACTGGGCATGATAGAAATTGATGTGAAATATTTGAAGAATAAATAATGTTTCCTATTACCACTTGTCCCAGAACATTATTTATGGTGCATATGTTTTTGGAAAGGAGAATGTGGGAGATAATATAGTTTGTATAATTCAAGGACTGTTGGGATGCTTGTGGGAAAAGAGTTACCAGCCTCTTTCATATCTGATAAATTAATCACCAGCATTCCCAACTTCTTGACTCATTCAGGAGGTTTGAATAAAAATGTTCTTGGGCTAAATGTGTCTTTCTGAAGGACAAAACACTACACAAAGTACTTCAATCACATGTTGATTAAACTTTCTAATAGCCTGTATAAGCAAGGTAAGAGGATGAGGTTTCAGTGGGAGGTAGGTGTTGTGGAAATCCCATCAAGTGTCTGTCTTGATCCTTACACATAAATACCATTAATATCTGGTCTTAAGTGACCCAGAGGTTTTTCAGTCACTTACAAACTCAGGAAAACCCCACTCTCATTTTCTAGGTGGATAAATGGGTTGGAACAATGATTAAATTCAGCATCATTAGTGCTAGGTTTTGGAAAATAGAAAAATGAAGTGTTGGCCTTGGATTAGGATAGTAAATGCAGTTACAGTACAAATAAAGATGAGATGGTGCTCCAAGAATTCATTTCATTAGAACTTGCATATAGAATGCTGCCACATTTGTATTTGGCATTGTTAGTGCATGGGAGAAGACTTTTTAAATAGTAAAATATACTACAATGTGGATTGAATCCACTAACCTGTGGGTTTTTTTGTTTTTTTTTTTTTTACTTTGGGGAGAAGGGAGTCTCAAAACTTCTCAGAATGTGAACTGTGACATTCATAGAGAGCAAGCATGTCCTTTTACTCTACAGTGACCAATAGAGATTGTAATCCTTTTTCTTAATACTTATATGTAGTTTCTCTGGGATAGTCAGCTGTTGCTGATTCAGGAAATTAGAAATGTTCTTAAGGCATTTTAAATATTCATCATTACATCTAGCAATTTGAATTCTATTCTGTGATTCTGTGAACTATTTAAAAGCTGTATGCACATGTGAGCGAACAGCAAATCCCTGTCAAGTTCTTTACAGCCCAGCATTAAAACTAAGATCACTGCTGAAGAACAGCATCCCTCAAGGCATAATGTCTCACTTGCTACTGGACAGGTCTGAGTTCATGCTGAGTTTTCAGGTCATTAGAATTTAAGTGGAAAATAGCAACAGTTTTGATTTCAATTCCAGTGAAGTTTAGGGAACACAAATGCTCATTTCTAGACTTCTTCTCTTAACTGATTCCTGCAAAGCCAAAAAAGATAAAGAGTAACTATCAATTTTCTGCAATCAAATGCCAGATGGTGTTAATCTTTAGCTAGCACACTTGACAATTAATGATGTGAATGTATGAACTGCATGCTGAATAAACTGGTTGCTGAAATCAAAGAAAATATTTCTTTCAAGAAAATCTGTTACTTTCTGGTACAGCAACTGATAGCAGGACTGCATGTTCTGATTGTAAAACAGTGTCCTAACAGGAGTGTGCATCACTGCCATAAATTAATTGTTGATACCTAATATAATCGGCTTAGCATGTACAAAGAACTAACAAGTTTTACAATGGAATATTTCTAAAAATTGTTCCTATGTAGCAGAGGAATACAATTCCCAAAACCTGCACCACACCTTTATTGTCATTCTCACCATACTTCTTTATGTGGGGTGTTACACATCTTCTGTTCACATTTATGTATTTAAATGATAGTTACATTTTAAATGGTCTTTGTAGGCATTGCCTTCTTATAAGTTATCTTGGAATGAGTACGATCTTGAAGAAATTTATACACACAGTGTAGGCCACCAGGAAGCATATTAAGAATGTAAGGAAACTATGTTTTTATTCGACATGTGTAACTAAAAAACACTGAAGTGGGCAGACAGAGTCAGGAGCAAACCAACTGAATTTATACAAGCCTCAGTCTGCAGTAATCTTTACCTTTTATAACCTTCAATTCCATCAATTTGATTGGGTAGTGGCAAAATTCGCTGGTAGCAAAAAAGCTGTTCCTCCAGTTTCAGAACACAAACAACAGAACAACAGTGAACCTTACTTTTCTACTGAAACAGACTCTTAAGTTATGTTTCTGGTCTTTACAGCATTTGCCTGAAGTATTTGTCAAGCATTCACTGTTTTCAGGTACTTCATGGACAACTATGAATATTTAACTTTGCATGCATAATTGTAGGTATTGTTAAGAGATTGCATTTTTAACTGAACAACAGCCTCTCTAGGGGAAAAAAAAAAACCAATATTTTTTGAAGTGAATGTTCATAAAGCTAACTGTTCTTGATACTTATTGTCAGTAAAGGACACGTTCTTCAAAACTGTACATCACTTACACAAGATTCTTATCACAGCCCTATTTCCTCATATGGCAATCTTAACTGAAAAAAATTCAGGTCCATTGCAAACTTTATTTCAATGTTTATATGACTAAAAAGGACCCATGTGTACTGTTACACTTATCAAAGAATTGGGATAAAGTGTAGAAACAGAAAATGTTGTGTAAGAAGGCAAAAGAATATTAAAAAAAAAAAAGAAAGAAAGAAAAAAGAATAATTATACCAGAGAAGCTGCTGCTTTTACCAGATTTTCTTTCTAAATTCATAGTAGCAAAGAAACAAAAACTCAGAGTATTCTGCTGTAACACATTGATTGTCAAAACACAAAAAAGAGATGAGTCCTGTTTCTCAGAGGTATATTTCTCATCAGCTCTCTGGAAAGACTAAAACTTGCATCAAAACAGCAGGATTTTCTAATAGCGTTAGAATGTTAGTACATAAGGTTAATATGTAGCATCAGGTCTGGATATTTTATAGAGTAAAACCATTAATAATCAGTATATTAAGTGAGGGCCAGTCTTTCTTCTGAAACTATGTCATCTTATTTCCTAAAAGTATGTTTTGATATGGCTTATAATAAAACAGCGTAAAAGCAAAGATTACTACTTAACATTTCATGCTTGTCAGGAAAGCATTTCCTGCAAAACACTTACAAATGAGCCCCTTCTCAACTCTTGACTGAAATGCATTAAGCAGAAATCTGACAACTGCTCAGCACAATTTGCAAGCTGCAGAGAATTTAAAATAGTCTTCCATGTCTAGGCTGAAATTCACTTAGAAAAGGAAGGTTCTAAGGAAGGTTCTAATTTCTTTGATTCTTTGTACTGTATGAGCCCATGTTGTGTTTAATTAAGATATGGGAAGCATCACTGTATTTTCCCTTGATGGCTAAGAAATTTTGCTCCAGGTGTAACATATTTGCAGTTAATTAGTCTGATTTTTTGTTTTTCTTCTCTCT